CACTTGTGTTGTAGGCCTGTGGCTGCTCTGTTTGCATGTTATTTGCAGAATCTTTCTTGCTGTTCACCGTTGCTGAACTGGTTTCAGTTAGTGATGTGTAGCTCCAAATCAACAGTAAACATGAAACCGTTGCTTTGAGCCACATTCTTTCAGTTGACATGGAGGGCTGTGCATGTTAGACTTCCCAAAATGTACTTGTGTTGGTTGATTCAGGAGTCGGTATCAGGGGTAAGAGAATGAGAAGCAGCTGTAATCTCTGGTAAGTGCATCTTAATTATACAGTTGGTAAGAGAATGATCTGTTGATGAACTCATGTGTAGCAAGTAAACTCAGTAGTAGGAATAATGTGTGAATCTAGTAGCTAGTTAGGAAGCAAGGTGGTAACTACAACAAGTGGGATTCACTCTCTCAGCATTGACTTATGACTGATGGTTTTATTACAGGGACGAAGTTGTTGCAGTAAATTGAAGCACACAAAGTTGTTGTCAGATGGGGTTCGTACGCGGAACAAGTAACCGGGTAGACACACCAGCCCCAGCTACATCTCAGGCTTTTGTTTTGCCCACCTTGACCCCAAGGCTTTCCTGCACGGATTTTAAGTAGGTCGTTTCTAAAGTTGTGTTTTTCGAGTTTCTTATTTGGAGATCACTTGGGCATTTTAAGGTAACCACATGCCCTTTTGGCAAACACCACACATCTGTATATGGGCATATATCGTTACCACCCTTTTTTGCGGGCAAAACACATATTAATTAACCAGAGTCAATAGTGAACTACAAAATGAGATTAGACTTCTCACATGATACAATAGTGAACTTGCTAAATCAACTCCCGGGAACTGGAGAATAGTTGAGGATCAATTCTAGGGTAACCTAAACCTAGGAATGCTTGTTTCACTTCATTGATAGACCCAACTAAGATGGTGGTTTATGTCTTAACTGGATTGATTATAAATTTAAAATGGTCTTATCCTAATCTCACATAGAATCAATAATAGCTCCTAAATACTGAAAGATGACAGCAAAGGATATTTAAGAAGTCACTACAAACACAAAAGAAATCAGTAGATATCTTCAGGCCATTTCTAGAGTATGTCAAGGTGATTGTAACCACTCCTTTCTAGATGCCTCCCATGCCTAATTACTTGAAATTGTCCCTTGTAGAGAAATAAGACGACATCCCTAAGACACTCCATCCCCTGATTCACATTCTTCTTCAGGATGCACTCCTCCAAAAGAAGGTTCCCCTAACTTAGGGAGGAGGGTGCCCAAGGCCACGTGGCCAAATCCATGGCCATTTTCCCTGACCACCGCCCCACTTGTTTTGTTTCACCCTTACTAGCTATATCATGTTGAAATAATTGGATTATATGAGTGAAGTATCCAGACGCAGGATATACAAGTATGAAGGCGTGTGGGGAGAAATTTGCACGCCAATGATCAAGGTATACATCACACTAGGATTTCCCAACTAGAGATAACATGTGATAGAACTGGAAAGGGAAAGAAGAAGAAGATAATATAGAATGCAAGCTTGAGAAGATGTGAGGGTGCTTATCTACTAGGTACCAGGAGGGGATCATACGGGGTGGATGGAGTCAAGCCTTGAAGCATGCATTTCTCATGGGCACGCATATATGCTCAGTTCTTGCACGCGAATGTGGTCCAACTCCATGTAGCTGGTCCCACATGACATCTTGAACTAACATCAACAAAACTGTAGCGAGCAACTGCCTCTTTTGTTGGACGATTACATTACTCTTGCTGCATTGCTAGATTAGGCATGCTCCATCATTTTGTTAATAGTTCAACAACCATTGCAGTGTTTGGTGTTGATGAATCCGGAGAGTTGGTATCTATGTAATAGATTCCTCATATAGGCAATTTAGTTTGTTTTTCAATAACCTTGAATGGGCAGGATCGTTCATTTCTAGTTGACCGGGAGAATGGTCATGTTTGTTAAATCCATAGTCTATTCTAGAAACACACGTAAAGCATAGTTTGAGATGGTTACCCTTCTAAATACTACAATTTGAGAGTGGCAGAGGATGACACATTATGATTTGTACTGGCTGGATTAAGGAGTATAGCATGTGTTATGCAACTGGAGCATGTGTTGTCACAAGGTACTTGGTCTGATGATACTTATAACTTCTTTCAAGGTGATGTGTGAGGAACCACCACTAAAAACTCCAGATTCAAGGCTGGAAAATTCGCTATCTTGTGATGGGTTCATCACAGCCGTGCTTACAGGTCACGGATTGGTAACGCCTACTTGTGGTGAGCCAAAAACCCACCTTGGATGTCCACATTCCTGTGGCACGTAACATGGCTTCATTCATGTCGGTTTCACCCTTCTGACGACCTCATCCAACATCAATCAAATTCGCCATATGTGTCGTTCAACTGCCTCAGCTATTCTCAATGCACATGCACCATCATGTCCTATGAGATTATGGATCACCACATTCATTGCTAAGAAAACACTACTCACATTGTGCATCTCGGATAGCAAAATAATGTAAATTAATACACTCATTTAATTATTAGGAAATATGCATACATGATATTATACTCGAAAATCTTTTGCTAAGTGCTGCGTGATAATAGTTACCAACAATCCAAATTATATTCATGAGAAAATGTGATGAATACTCCAATGTAAGATGCGCACGTGCAGTGCTGCAGCCCTGCTTGCCTCTCTGGCATGTCAAGTAAATGGTATCCTCCCTCGATGACTTGGCACATGAATATTGTGTAGAGAGAGTGATGCTCAAGGGCAGGGAGTGGTACTTATTCATGTTGTGCAACCACAAGTACCTGAATGACTCGCAGCCCAACCAGCGGCATGGGGTACTTGGAGGCCAGAGCGCTGCCAAGCCCGTGCGCGCAGTTATATATCCGATCTACGCAGCTAACCCCATGGCCAAATGTAAATCAGATGCACGGAACCTAGAACACAAACAACACAACCTGAAAAAAAGCAGAGGACCAAGAAATGTGTACTCCGTTGGAGTGGAAGTAGTTATATTTATGTCAATTTGCATTCCAACTAAGCGACTATCTGCAGTCTTGCCCTCTGCTCTCATCTAATTAACCATTGCATCTCTGTCTGCCTATTGTGATGGTATGTGTACGTTCTCTTCTTTTCATGTTGATTTTGCTTTCTACAGAAGCTAAAAGTTGTCATCGGGTTGTTTCGTACACCTCATGTGGAATGGTGCTTGAAAGAGCTTCATGTACATACACATATTGGCATGGTTTACATGATCGTTTGGTTGAACCGCAAAACTACCAAACATCTAGATGTCACATATTAGGGCATCTCTAATCAGTTTTCAAAAAACCTAGAGGCTAACGCACGCTTCATCGCGCCGCTCTTCACTCTTGAAATTAACTTTTTATATCTATAGATTTTGCGGTCAGTTGTTTTGTCTTGATTTTATCTGTGTTGGCTTTGTGTTTTTATTTTTTATTGGTGGTGCTTTTTGTTCGTATATCGTGTTGGGTTGCTGTTGGAGTATTTTTTTTTCAAGAGAAGGGAGGAGTTATTTGGGGTACCTTTGCATATTTTGGCCTTGGTATCAGCCCGGTGGTGATTGTTTGAGCCTCTTGGGAGCTCTTATTTCATGCTAAACCCATGGTATTGCTACTGTGATGCTCACATGGTTCAATACCCGAAGCTCTTGCTCGCTCAGCGTGGCCCCCTGCTACACTCGCTTGTTTAGGTTTTTTGCGCTCACCCCATTGCTACCTCAGAAAAAATCACCTATCTTATTTTTAAATGTTAGTTAAATTAAATGGTGTTTAAGGAACTTTAAAATTATTATGACTTTTAAAAATGATGAATTTTAGAAACATTCATGAATTTAAAATATATTCATGATGTCAAAAGTGTTCGGAAAATTAAAAAAATCAAAATTTAAAAATGTTCACAACCATGAACTTTAAAAATATCCACAAATCT